CACCGGGTGAGGTATAATTACATAGATCATTTTCCAACGCCAATTGGCATTTACTGACGTCATGGAGTGTACATGGAGTGATCGTTTTGTTATTATTATTATGTTGTTGAATTCTTTTCCCTGTTCTATGTGGTTTTAGTCGCTTTTTGGCATTCAAGCGACCGTTCGTAAATTTGCTCAGAGATGAGTCTACTTCACTTATGAGCGAGTGCGCATATTTGATCACCAAAATTCTATGTAATTCCAATACCCAATTGCATTTGCTCGTAACGTAACTTGGCTAAGAGGTGTTTCCAGTTTCCATCTGTGCGCGATCTTGCCTTAAGCGAATTTTCACTTAAAAAAATTCCAAAGAAAGCGAACTATTTTCAAATGTAAATCAGTTGACAGTGATCCGTAAATAATCCGAAAGATATCCAAGTCTAGACGAAGATAGAGACAGCGGTTTTCCGGCGATGCGATAAAGGTCTGCATTGCTACACGCAATGTTGGATTCGAAGTTTTGGAGCATAATATTGTGTTGTTTTCTCTAAACTAAAGGATCAACCCCTTTAATATTTCGAGCTTTTAAAGATGGAAGAACCCGCTAGAAGGCCATTACTTTTATTTATATTCAAAAACCGTGGTTTTGGACCTATGGCCCATGTCAGGGTGGTCAAAGGTTGTCGACCCCGCGGGCCACACTATTATTTTGTATTGTTCGCGGGCCACACTATTATTTTTGCATTGTTCGCGGGCCACAATAGTGCCAAGAATATGTAAACAGTGCAATACAAAACAAACACTTTTATTGTCAAATACATTGATCATTATTTGACTTTTTTTAAGCTAAAGCATGCAAAAACCACAGAAAGAAATTTCATTAAAACGTGCAAAAATCTTACTATATCTACATTTAGTGTAAGATTTCAAACTTTTCAAGGGAGAAAGTAGCAAAAAGAGAAACTACCGTATTAAATTGTCACCGACACAACTCGCGGACATATCAAGCAAGCATTGTGGTATTTTCCCACCCACACCTAGTCAAAAATATGTTTGAATTGGTCAGCTTTATATTTAAACTCATGTTAACAAAATAACTTACACCTAACTGCAGATTGACTGATTACCGAATTGTACCAAATTTGAGATACAGGAGGGTAATTACTCAATTTTCTGACATATAGGCAGCATTTTTTGTAATACTGCTTAGGCTGGTTACAAAAAACCACCCGACGGGAATTGTATTGTTCGGCCATAACATTGATATTTATTTATCAGGCATAGCCAACCTAGATTAATAGATTCCTCATTCGATCTTCAGTTTTCTATGAAGCTTATTTTGTTAGCAGATATTCCCGACCAAAAAGATGAAGAGCCAGATAAATATTTAGACTGCCTGCACATCATTGAACTTTGCTAGTTTAGTCAATTCAGTACAATTAGTGATGTAACAATATGTCAAAAGATTTTTCTGGTTATTTTTATCACGAAACAACACCAAATGCAACCTTTTGTTTACCCTCGCGCAAATGCGACGCGGGCCACAGATAATGAAGCGGCGGGCCTGGGTTTGGACCACCCTGGCCTATGTATTGTTTTAATAGATTTTTTCTCTGCGGCTAAAGGACCGACCAATTTTAATTTTTAATATTTGAAAATGGAAGAAGCCGATAGAAAACTTTTTTTATGTTCAAAAACCTTGTTTTTGGACATATAGATAGATATTCAGCGAAGTTGTTGCTCTTGTCGTTGTGAAAAAAAAAACTGTTGCCTGCAACTAATGGACTATCTCATTCCGAGTTAGAGAACTCGCTAGAAAGTTTTTACTGTTATTTGTGTTCAAATATTCTCTGAGTTGCACGGCGGCCCGATATCCATCGTAATTTGGCTGGTTTTCATAATTTACAGGCGTTTTTTAAATTCATATGACATTCGGTACAATTCTTTTAACATTTGGCTGAAATCGTGGTGACCATGTTAGTCATTTGACTTTTGTATTCATGTATTCTAACAATATATATATGGCGGCCTTTTGTTAAAAGGAAAATGGCGGAGAAATGCACATAAAACGTCCAAGGGCGATGTTCGTTAAGAAGAATATTCATTTACCACAATTCAAATGTGCAAATACAGGTTTTCGCGCCATAAAACGACCGCTATTGTGTTGTAATACATCCAGACAGTGTGATGTCATTATTCAACAAAAATCGATTGTTCGGTAACGCAAGAGGACAAGTGTCTATTGATTTTATTGTCTGCCTCCAGTAAACAATTTTATTATTTTCACATAAAAGAACTTTTGTGTAATTTCGAAGATCGTGCCTTTCATCTTTTGATTTGACTTGAACCGCGAGTAACTTCGATTGAACTTGGGTGCGAGTAACTTCAATCAAGGATGAGTCTCTTCACTTCTGAGTGAGTGCGTGTGAATTTGTTCAGATATGTGTTTCCTTCCCTTCTGATTGGGTGTGTGTAACTTTGCTCAGAGATGAGTCTTCTTTACTTTTGAGTGAGTGTGTGTAACTTTGCTCAGAGATGAGTATCCTTCACTTTTGAGTGAGTGTCCGTAACTTCACTCAGAGATGAGTCTCTTTACCGAGTGAGTGTGACCATGCTTTGATCACATCTAACACATTAAAATTTGTTAGCTGTCTTTTAAAACCGATTGCTTGTCCGATAAGAAGCTAATACGGAAGTAGTCGAGTGATAATTGCCGTTGCATTATTTATTAGTTTATCTAGCATGGTTTGAAGTAGGTAATTTGAAAAAATATATTTGTCGAGAAGCCTTATTTCAATCAGTCCTATGCCTAAATGAAGGATGGGGGCTCCAGCTCCGATGAAAACCAAATACAACTTTACTACCCGTATCTTTTTAATAACCCGCACAACCGTGCCACCCACAAAGATAAAATTTTGCACAGCACATCACAATTTTGACTCCTCAATCCTGGTCATTATCACAGAACAATGAGATCAATTAGAACAAATCAATCCAATAACGAAGCGTTGTTTAACTGATGGAAAACCCCTCTCTGGGGAAGGTATCTTCCTTTCCTTTTTTTTTGGGGGGGGGGGGGGTCTATTATGCATTGCAATTGTTGTAGTTTTACCAATTTTCTTCCCCTATTTAGGTATTATAATAGATTTATTACACACGGTGTAAACCCGTAAAACTGCGCAAACACCTGAGTTCGGATTGCGCGTTTTATTAACCAATGCAACGGTTCCCAACCGAGGAAGGAATTCGTCATTCTCGGGAAGAATTTTTTACACTGAAGATCGAACAATAAACGGAATTATTGTTTTTGCACTTATAAATGTATTACGAAAGGTTGGGAACTACCACGATGTCAAGTTTAAAAAGATGATTCGGTATCGTAATGCAGTGTCTCCCTCACCTATAAGTCGCGACCCGAAATTGGGTAGTCTGAAAATTTTATTTGGTCGCTTTTTTGCGTTAAAAGATTGACCTAGGGTGTGAAAAATTGGAAGGTAAGGGCGAATCGGCAAAGTTTCAGTTATTTCAAAATATAGCAGGCCCTAACATAACAGCGGATGTCTGTGCAGAGCCGAGTGAAATACAAAATATATGTCATGGAAGTGATTATGGTGGGGCAAAGTCATGATAAGCAGAGAAAGTTGCCACAATAATCTAACTCATATGTGGTAATAACAGTATAGTATTAAAGCGAGCTTAGACCCGACCACCCAGTGATATAAATTGCAACGTACAATCAACACTGGTGAGAAAAATCAAAAAATATATTGGATTTCATCGTCATTAATTGACTATAAAAAAAAGAAATATACTCCGATTTGCCATAACACTGAACTAAAAATACAAATAAAAAATTCAAATTTCTTCGAAAATATTAAAAGAATCCATATATTAACTTTAACAACGCTTTTTCACTTAACAAAGATTCCAAGCTACGCAAGAATTCCATATAAATCTACTATTTTTCTAAAGAATTAAACGACTACAATACACTCCCTACAGCCGCCTATTACCAAGAAAGCCGGCGATAAAACCTGCCTATTATAAATCGGCATTGTTAACGTCACAGAAGCATTGAAAAGATGAATAGCAATTTGTTTTCCAATTAGGCTACGAAAACTTGAAACTTGCGGAAATCTGCTCGTCCATAAAAATACTTAGTTTTGCTTTTATCGCGTTTCGATCAGTTATTTTGGATCTTTTGTAAATGCATACTGCGTTGTCGACTCAAGTTTTCAAATCATTTCTAACCCGGATCGGATAATTACTAATTTGGTATTTTTAAACGTAGCTGGGGTGTCTTTCTTAATTCCCACATTTTCGCATTCGGGGCGTAGGCTTTATACCAAACATTCGTTATTTTATGCCGCGTAAAATAATAAGAAAACCAGCAAAGAAAGAAAAATTCAAAAAATTACACAAATTGCGGTTAATTTACGTCGGTCGGTTACGGCTTCCTCCACCACCAAGTCATCGCACCTAGAACAAATAACTGGCTGACTAATCCCGAAAGGCCGTGGTTCGTTCGCCATTAGCTTAAGCCGTCTAATCGGCTTTTCTCTCCCGGATAAATAGGTAAATCTGATCTGATCTTATTAACTTAATGTAGTCATAGTAGAATGTAAAAGGTACCGGGTGTCTAGTGAAAACTTCACTCGTTTTTGGCGGTAGTATACAGCAATGTACCTGGCTCACAATCCGGGCCTGCTATTTATATATTTGTTTAGTATTCCTTTTGGCAAGAATTCAAATGAGAAAAGACCATTCCCGTTCCCAACCTGCTGTCAGTATGGCAGTACCACAGCTCGCTACGGAGGAGGACATTCAAGGAAAAGTAACTTCGCTAATGAGTAACTTGCTCACAGATGAGGCAAAATTGTGTTGAAAATGACGTACGAGTTTGTGTTTAACTGCAAACGCCACAAAATAGGTTTCCAAAAAGTCATACGTTGAAATGAAAATTAGGACCGTCTTTTGCCAACAGATTATAGGAATAATGAATCAAAATTAAAACGCACCTTCAGCGCATCGAAGCAGGCGATAACTTTCCCGTCAGGCATGACTTGAATGTTCTTCCCGGGATGGGCGTATTTACATTCTTCTGATGTTCGTTTGCAAGCGCCTCGCTGAAATTCACGGCAAACCTGCGGAAGACGAATGAATAGTGATAAAAATACACAAAAAATGGAGCAGAAGCCGGTATCGAACTTGTAGATGGAACGGCATATAAGGGTGCCAATAAAGTCCCTTTACAATCTCATTTTTGTTATGAAGTCAGTTATCAATATATCTTAACCAGGTTTACTGTTTTTTTAATAAGTGATTGTTCAAGTATTTTAACCTTATTTAATACATCTGTGAGGGCCAAAACAATAAATGGTATCGATAAATTCCCTTTGCAATTTAAAAAAAAAATTAAGACCCCATGGACACCCTAAAAACTGACTCTGAGTAACGGTTAACTCATGAATCAGGTTATCAAGTCCAACTTGACTCAAATTAAAAAATTCAACCCCAAATTCAATATCAGCGGGAATATTACCTTAGAACGGCGGTTATCAATCGGGGGCCCGTTGCCCCTAGAGGGCCACATATCGGTTGGTAGGGGGGCACAATGCTAAGCGCAAAACTGATTTTACTTTCCACCTCCTACTCGTTCTTCCTAGTTTCATTGCTTGATAAGGTTATTTCACAGGGTGTTTTCACTTTGTTGAGCATGAATTGTTTGAATATAATGGGATTTAGAATCTACCGATCATAATACCACTATAAATACCACTCGCATGTTAAACAGGGGCCGTGAGTGCTAAAAAAACGGAAGGAGGCCACAGACAATTATATTCAAATTTATCATCCCCAAGAAACAGAAATAGAATGCCAGATACGTTCCTTTCACCCAAGTAAATCGAGAACGTGCGCAATTTTAACTGCTCGTATTTTTAGAATAGTAAAAAGGGGATCATGAGCGCTAAAAGCCACCGGGACACGAGCCATGAAAGGTTGGGTTACCACTACTTTAGAATGTATTCGGAATTATTCCGTCCATGAATCCGTTAATTAACAAGAGAGCTGTGGTCAAATAATGGATACGTCACAAGGTGTCGCTATTTTTTATTCTGACACATAAAAAACGAATCTCTTGAAGTCCACAGAATTTTTTGAGCAATAAGTAAAAATAATAGCCTTCTGGTAAAAAAATCAATCTTCAACCACTGAAAATTTCAAAGAAATTGGTCCAGTATTCGGAGAGAAAAGCGATTTTATCATGACGAAAGAGAAGAATATTACTAACAAGAACAACTAGAATTCGGTTGGAAACCGAAGACTTATCGATCGAAGTTTAGGGGATCTCCCAAAACAGTGGTCTTACTCCATAGTGACACCATGTGTCCCATCACTAATTAATTAATAACTCGCTAATTATACGACATAATCCATCAATAGGCTTCTGATCCGAGCTAAGGTGAATGCACATGCAAAATTTGGAGCAGATTGAACCTCGCTTTCGTGAGATATCGCGTGCATCTAACACACAGACATACAGACAAATACCTATCAACATACTTAAAATCGATAAGTAACAAGATAATATTGAAACGATAGTTATGTACACTGACGTGTCCAATAACAAAACTCTAACCTCAAGCTTCAGCCATTCCGGGTCTCTTATTGTTGGTAGTTGTTGCATGGTCGGGAGCTGGCCTATGGCCACGGCACCTGTGGCACCGGCTGTTGACAGTTGGGGGATGGGAGGGGAGACGGCTGCATTGGCGGTAGCGGTGGGAGACGTTAGGGGGGTTTGTGCTGTAAAAACAAAAATGAGAGTTAGGTTTTGTTATAAGAAAATAGATTTATTTGAAGAGAATTCAAACTTTGACTTCGACTCAAGGAAATTTGAAAACACGACTTCGGCTTCTACTCCGAAGCAATATTTTCAGACTCCGACTACACAATTATGCATGGGAAATATTCTGGGACAGGGTAGATAAAAAAGTGTGAGCGAAATGTTTGATTCACAGCGAATATAAGCGCACTTGCCAAACTATCAAAAATATGAGAACTACAAAGAAAAAACGATGAAGAATACATACAAGCCATCATGGAGAAGCGGCAACTTAAAGATGCAGAGCTCAAAATAAGCAAAAATACGTTGAACGTGGCAGAGCAGCAGCAGAAAGCAATCTGAAAGCACAGGGTGAGAATTAAATTATGTTTTCATGTTCCACACATCTAAAGAAATCCTAGTATCTGTATTAGGTATTGTGCAGAGCGTGAGTGAGCGTTGCAAAAAATAATAGTCTATTTATTAGGAATTATTTATTATAATATTTATTTAGAAGTCTAAAATACCACATTATTGAGATACTTTCACACCCAGTTTGAACTCTTATTTGTTGGTTAGTTCCGAGTGAATGACACCGCAGTGTAGGAAGACTAATTATCGTCTGAGCATTGTTTACGAAAGAATGACTCATTTAAGCCGCAGACGACAGCGCCTGAAAGATTTATGCGCGCAAATATAGACGATTATGTTATGACTCCAAATTTGGCGATCAAGGTGGAAAATATCTGTTTCAATATATACATAGTCGAATATGGAAATATTATATTTATTTTTGATCGCCCCATCGCTCTGAATAAGGCTCTGTTTGAACCGTTATTGATAACTAAAAAGTTACTACTTTGGAAGGACGGAAATCTTTAAGGATGGCATTGCCTGCTCGATCTACTGAATCATTAGGCGCGATGGTGAACACGGAGTTTAAAACAAGGCCCCAAAGCAGTGGTTCTCAAATGGTGGGGCGCGCCCCACAGGGGAAGGGGGGTGGCGTAGAGAATTTTTTTGAGGGAGCGTGAAGGTAACTAAACTTAAAAATATTTGTTATATTTGATCTTGCCCGCCATATTTTTGATATTTAGTTATTTACCTTTATATTTATTTCATTATGTACGTTCCATCCATGAATTGTAGATTATTGTTAGCTAGTTATTTTTAAGGGTGGGCGCGAGACTTGACAAATTCTAAAAAGGGGGCGCAGCTTAAAAAGTTTAAGAAACCATTGCTCTAGAGATGCAGTTATTGACACGCTGAAAAATATTTCGCTGTTTTCAGGATAACACGAGTAGCGAAATTTGATGACGCAAAGTAATTAGTTCATAAGCATATGTCGCTCAATAGCACTACTATAATGAATTTTCGTAAATTTTTTACGATGTCGTGGACGTACAAGGTTGGCAAATAAGACTGTACTAACAAATTGAATTTTGCAATTTGAAGATTTATGCGCGCAAATATTGACGGTTTGTTACGACTCCAAATATGCCGCTGTGCTTACGGTAGAAAGATCTGTATATTCGTATATTGCGATATTTTATTTATTTTGAAGCCTTTTTCACACCATCGCCCCAAATAATGCTTTGCACAAGCAGTTACTGATTCCTTTATAGGCTATAATTGTTCGACCCGAATCTTTACGTTCCAGCAGCAGAAAACAGCAGAAGTCAATGACCCGGGCCTTCCTAATCCTGATTAGGGTATAACAAATTATTCAATTTAGGGTACATCCATAGTATGTGTGCCAGGTTAGAGTTAGACCATAATTTCATTCCGATTTTCCTTATTTTAGTTCTATTACGAGTTCGGGAACTGTCTGTTAGCCAAGTGAACATATAGTCCATAAGTTTCATACTCTTTACACAACTTGATGTAAAGTAGGCAAACAAAATTAGTCACCTCCATATACACCAACTTCTGGAGAGCCCAATTTAATCCATCTTTTGAACAGCTCCACTCACGGAACGTAATTCTAAATAAAAAGCAAAAAATCCAACTCACCAAATAAAAGGCAATTTAGCTCAATTGCGTCCAAAAAGAGAGAAATATAAAAAATATAGTCGTGGGCCTCCTTGCCCGTAAACGCTCTTTTATTGTTCCGTTGTGTGGCACCCTGTCACTGGGTGGCGTATGAATTAGCGGAGCAGCGATGCAGCAAAATATTGACCTTTGACCCCTACATATACGTCATGGCTTCCGGGTCGTGAATAAGCAAAATTACTACAACACAAAAATTAAAAGCTGGAAATAGAAAATAAAATGAAAATATTTGTAAAACTGAAGGACGGCAGTGCAACGTTCTACTGGTATAAACGGGTAAAAATTTAACCAAAAAATTCTGAAAAATAAAAAGAATCAAGTAAAACGCTTCTCAATAATGGTTAGGATTGAATTTTGTCTGGTTGGAAATATTGCATGGCGGAAATTTTCAATGAAGAAAATACCTTCGGATGGGTTAGGTTTTTGGGTGGAATTTCCATGAGCAGACGCTTAATGGTTTTTTCAGCAAGCATAAGAAAAAGGGTAGTAAGTCTCACAGAGACATATTTGTGTTAGTGTGCAACAACATTTTCACTTGCACATTTCTGAAATGATTTGTCCTAGTGCACAAGAAGACTCTTAATCAAATTCCTTAGTATAACTATCTTCACTACAGAAACCTTGCATTAAGCGCATTCGGATCCACTAGCGCAAAGGCGTAGAACAGGGGTCGGCAACCTACAGCTCGCGGGCCGTATCCGGCCCGCGAAGCACTATAATCCGGCCCGCGACGCTTCACTAAATTATAGTAACAAAACATCCGTTTGGACGAATATAATCTTTAGACTAAATTATATTACAACCTAACAATTATATATTTCACAATTACTCGTTTAATGAGCATATGATTTAATTATAATTAAGCAAATGGCAACAAAACGCAGAAAAGTTTATGCTAAGTGCAAAGGGTTCAATGGCGCTGAAAATATTCAAATGAAATTTTATGAGATGCAATGAGGAAAGAAATCTATATTCTATTCGAGAGATGTATCACTGCTTGATTTTTATTATAAAAAGTAACATCGGTTCGGTTTTTCAACTTTCTAAAAATATGTGCGGCCCGCCAATGACTTGCAGCCTTAATTTTGGCCCGCGAGCGACAAAAGGTTGCCGACCCCTGGCGTAGAACATAGGTCGGCAAACTGCGGCCCGCGGGGCAAATGCGCCCAGAAACAAATTTTTGTGGCCATCGAACGACTATACTCTTAATCAGGGGTGGGCAACTTCTCTAGTCGGCGGGCCAGATGTGGGAAAATGAAGTTCTCGGCGGGCCGGATAATAACATGAATAGTATTCAATATCTTAATCACATATTTATTCGCTAATGCAAGAAAGAAAATTATAAATCGCGTTTGAAGTAAAGTTTAAACTACAAAAAAATAGAAACCAAAAAACCCATAATGAATTTATCATAAATTACTAAAACTGTAATAATATAATATTATAATGTACTGATGTACAGTCAGCGGGCCGGTCAAAATCTCGTCGGGGGCCGGACCCGGCCCGCGGGCCGTATGTTGCCCACCCCTGCTCTTAATGCATGAAAATCAAATTTTCCTCTTATATTTATTATTATTTGCGCACGGTTGTAAAATAATGAAAGTAAAAACGCACATCTCGCTTACATATCGTTTACTTACCAACGAGCCTACCGTTAGTTGAAATTGACACAGAAATAGGTCATAATTTGAGGTTTAAGGCGTTTGTTTATGGACGGAAATTAATGTGACCCGCATGCCATCGGAAATGTGTATATTTTGCCAAGTAATACAAAGTTTGCCGACCACTGGCATAGAACAAGAATAAGTATAGTTAGTCTCACGTAACCCGGACTGACAGTTTATAACGCAAATACGACGAAACGCTGTGACCGGAACTTGATGAAATATTCATTGGATGATAATGAAAGATTTGAATAATATTCCACGCGGAAAAATTATGCGCAATAAAAAAAAATCAGATATCCAACTAAAATATACAGGTAATTGTAATCCCACTGGCGCCTGTAAGAACTACGAAGAGGTTCATATCCCCACGAGTAATTTTCTAATTTGTTTTCTTCGGCCCTATTCATCTTAAACAACCTCATCTTAACTCAACGTAAGAATACATATGAATATATATCTTCTGTGCTAAATACCTTACGTTCTATAGCAGTGGTTTCCAAACTTTTAAGAGTAAGGACCCACTATTTATTGCCACAGCTTATGGCGATCCATCTCGTGATTTTCTACAATGTAATTTTATTTTTGATAAACGAACACAAAAGACCTCTTCCAAAAAAAACATAGTGTTATTCTTCAAAGGAAAATAAATCTAAATGTTGTCTAAATTTCGGGGAAACAGGTAAGAAGTGCTGTACAGTGTACAAAACTGCTATACGTAAAAAAGCCACATGGTCAGTCTGTGTGTAGCAAATTTTTGTTCCTTTAAGATCGTAAAAGGAAAACTTTCACAGCTTAGGATTTGAATTCAATTTAATTTCTTTTGATTTTTTGAAGATTTACGTATTCGAGTCGCCATCGATCCTAATAACCAGTATAATTAATCAAAGCTTTCTACATCTTTTCACGACCCACTAAGATTCCTTTTGCGACCCACCAGTGGGTTGCGACCAATAGTTTGGGAATCGCTGTTCTATAGGATAGGTTTAGGTTCTCAAAGTGCCATGTGGCCCGCCACTTCATTATCTGTGGTCCGCGTCGCATTTGGAGAGGACAATCTTTTGACATATTGTTGCATCACTAATGTCACTGAATTGACTAGTGTTATGGATTGCTGAGGCAACTAGCGAGGTTAAACGAGCAAAGTTCTGGCACTATTGTGGCCCGCGAACAATGCAAAAGTAATTTTGTGGCCCGAGGAGCTGATTCCAATCTTGGACCACCCTGGCTAACTTCTTCAAACAATACAAGATATAACTTAATCAAATAGCGAAAATACCTAATATCAGAAATCTTGCTGCTATTGCGTGAGATATATCTCAATCCAGTACTGTAGAGTAGTGCCGGGCTACTCAGCTATTCTTACCAAAGCTTCGCATACTAAACTTCAAAATTAATGGGGTCCGTTCTTTCCGAAATTATATTTCGACATCCTTAAACGCGCACTTCACGGATGGCTAGTGATTATTCTCTAGTGAAGATTGTTTATAATGACGTTACAATTCTTTTCATATAGTCAGGTGCCAACATGAGCAAATTTTAAAATAACTTGCAAAACTATGAAAGCAAAAGAAACCTCCAAAGTTTGGCCAATGATCCTAATTTGATTTGATTCGAGGTCCGAATTAAATACTCAAAGTCGAAAGTTCGGAACGAGGTCCGCCAGTTGGGTGGCCCTGGTGTAGACTGTACGGTATAACGACACATTTTCCATATCTAGTGGATGTTACTTATCTATATAAATTTAATTTATATATTTCTGGCATGATCTTAACGCGCTGCACTGCACCAGGGTAGACAACATACGGCGGCCGCTATAGCAACTCCTTTTCCGCTCAACATTAATTATTTTATTAAATACATTCCCGGTAAGAGATTGAGATTCGAACCAAAATCTTCAAACTGCGACGTCAACCTAAATATTCAAAGCACACAATCAATTTGTTCAAATAAAATATTCGGCTATTCTTACAGAAAAATACAAAAAATTCCACGTTTTTCCTAACAGTGTATTTATCTCTTAAGAACATTATAATGGACCTCAATAAAATATGCAAAAGGACATTAATATGATTAAATTGTGACGGTAATATCATAAATTGGATTGATGGAATATTGGATCCTCCCTAGAAAACTATTACGAGAAAAAACGTTGCCGGGAAATTACCATTTGGGGGAATGCCACTTTGCGCGAATAACCTATTTAAATATATTTGCTATACATACGGCGAAAAAAACGCTGTCGGAAATTACCGTTTGTGGGAATGACATTTTGCGCGAACAACTGATTTGAAGCGAAGTGCTTTAAAATGCGCGCACTCGCTCAGAAGTAAAGAAGTCTCATCTGTGAGCAAAGTTATGGACACTCATTCAGAAGTAAAGAAGACTCATATCTGAGCAAAGTTACGCACACTCAGTCAGAAGTGAAGAAGACTCATCTCTAAGGAAAATTAGGGGCACTCACTCAGAAGTAAAGAAGACTCGTTTCTGAGCAAAGTTACGGGCACTCACTCAGAAGTAAAGGAGACTCATATCTGAGCAAAGTTACCACACTCAGTCAGAAGTGAAGAAGACTCATCTCTAAGGAAAATTAGGGGCACTCACTCAGAAGTAAAGAAGACTCGTTTCTGAGCAAAGTTACGGGCACTCACTCAGAAGTAAAGGAGACTCATCTCTGAGCTACTGAAACCATATGGAAGTAAGACGACCAAAATTTTGAGACTTCCCGGAAGTCGGAATTCCATATTTCTCAATATCAGGGGTCGCAATATAATTATTTCGGTGACGGAGTCATTAATCGGATACAAAAATATTTCCGGCTGTACAGCAAAGCACAGTACAGCACAGTACGTCAACAAAATTTAATTTAAGCCATAATTTAAGTTGATAACTGACGAAGATGGAACATGTGGAAACTAGATTATCCAAGGCGGTAATCTGATCACTGTTCTATTGATAGCTAATCAACGATGGATGAATAAATAAACATTATTTGTAAAAACTGTAATAGGACAAAGGAGTTTGAAAATGCAATTATGCGGGTAATAATACAATACCGCGCTTATATTTGTGACGATTTTCCCACCTTTCATCTTATAAATGCTCTGTACAACCCTTCTACGGGCGACGCCATTGCCTAGCGCTTACACTGCAGAGGTGAGCAAGGTTTTTGAAACAAGGGTCGACAATTTTGCCCACCTAGACTGGCGGGCCATATAAGTGTAACGAAAGAGGTTAAATTTTATGAACAATATTTACAGTGTTACGAAAGCGAAAATGAAAACAATAAGAATCATGCCAAAAATAAATTTAATTACAATCTCAACAAATTTCTTGAGCTATTTTTTTAGCTAAAACGTCAAAATTTGGTTTTAGTTTGGTTGTGGCAGCATTAGGCGGGCCGAATTGAATTACTCAATGTGTCGGATTTGGCCCACGGGCAGTAGTTTGCCCATGTCAGGCTTACAGCGTACTTGACTGTTTTGGCATCATAGATTTCACATCTCGGTTCCAGATCCCATGCCCACCATCTCACACAGGGTG